AGTGGCTGGCCACCTCCAGCGGACAGTCTGGGAGCCGGGGCTGGTGTGGAGCCAGGCAAACAGTGCAAACCAGTTCAAATGAGCTTGTATGTTCACTGCATTAAGGGGCTTGTGCTCTCCTTGCTGGCTGAAGATCACCTCCGAGAGGACCAGAGCTCCATTGAAGATGTGGTAAGTGGGAAAGCATCTACACCTGCAGCTACGCTCACTGCTGCTTGTCTGCTGGTGGTGGTGGTGGTGGTGGTGGTGGGGACAGGGGTTGCAACTGAGGAGCGAGCGTTGGATCACTGTTCCCATTTCTTCCTCACCTGCTCTGTATTGTGCAAGGCCAAGCCGTTTGGCTTAGGGTTCGTCACCGCAACCAAAGCTATGTGGGAGGCTGTTTGTGAACGTCAGGCAGCGAGCCTGAGAGGTGAGAGCGTTGTCTCACATGCGACTCCTGTTGCCTGTTGTTGTCTGTCGGTGCCAGCACCAGAGCAGAGTGTGTAGGTGTGACCGTCAGACAGCCCCACAGGCTGCCAAAGGCCTGTGCTGGATTTGGGATTTGTTGGGAAAGACTGTCAGTTTTGTGGTGCTTTTTGGAAAGCCGGGTTTGTTCTCTGTTTAACCTCCACTTCGCCTGCCACAGCTTCTCACTCTGGAAGCACCAGGGAGATGTGTCTGGCAGTAAGTCCCCAAAGAGTTTCTGTTCCACATGAAGGTCTGGCTGTCTGCGTCCCCAGCGCGCTCTCCCTGGCGCCGCTCTCCGGGGGCAGGAGCGAAGGGTGCCATTGGGGCACCCCAGATAGGTGCTGTACCAGAGCAATCCCAAATTACTCTGCTGCAGGATTTGCTTCAGTGCGCAGGCTTCCCTGCCAAGCGGCGCGGTGCAGCTAACGGGGCTGTGCGGGAAGGACGTGCCGGCCCCCGGCGTTTCCCGGTGAAGCATTAGTCTGCGGAGCTGCCGCCTGGCCTCTGCCTACCTACCAGGGAGCTGAGTCAAAGCTGCAGAGGCCTGTTTGATATGCCAGTTGCCATGGGAACAACCTAATTTCTTTAACCATCAGACTGGAAGGTGGAGGAATGCTCAGACTAACGCTGGCTCCCAGCGTTAGCAGAGCCTCAAGGTTACTCTTTGTGCTTCTGAGCTCTGGGACTCGGAGGCTGTGGCTGTGACCCCTCCGTAAGCAGGGGGATGCCACCTCCGCACAGCACGGGAGGATTGGCGTGCCCAGCAAGGGACTGCTGCAAAATCAGCAGAGGCCAGGAGGTGCAGCCTTGGCCTTTTGCGCCAGACATGGCACATTGTCCCCTTTCTGCTCGTTTCGAACAGGCAGCTGCACACCACCTCCCGCTCCACTGCGTATTCTCCGGTTGAGGGGAGAGAAGAGGACGCAGGTGGGTAGGAACTGACGCTCTCGAGAGCTGAAGGTCATCCTCATTGCACAGGTACCCTCAGCTTCTCTGAGACTTCTCTGGTTACAGCTCCGGCATGGCCGGCTGGCAGTGCCGCTCGGCCGTGCTCGGAGGCGGTGTGGTTCCCGACAGCCCGTGCAGCACCCGTGGCTGGGAACCAGCCTCTGCTCTGCTGCCCGTCTGACTTGCCGTGAGAAGGAGCGTCTGAAGGATGTAGCTAGCGTATGAAAAGCCTCGCTGGGGGACTTAGCTCTGCTAGCGACACATTGCACGTCCTCCTCCCATCAAGTGCCTCGGCAAGGCCAGCAATGGCCCAGCCTGGCTCAGTTTGTCATTCAGTTCATTAAGCCTCAATCAACTGCCTGTCACTGATGCACCACATTTCAGCCGGTTTTCCTGTATGTATTGCCCCAGGGTTGACAAAGCCCTGTTCCATTCAGGTTCCTCTTTTCCCAAACATGCTGCTTCCATCTCACATACTCTTGCTTTGGATGTCATCTTAGCCAAACTGTACTTTCACACAGCTTGGATTTTGGCTGTGATTGGGTTCTTCTGACTACACCCTTCCTCTGGGTGCAGGTGTCTTATCTCTTAGGAGAGATGCACTGCATGTCTCGTCATCCCAGGAGGAAGAGTATTGTTTGAGGAGGTAGAGCTGGACTCTGCTGCTGGCGTCATGGTGGATTTGGGGCGTAGCCTCAGCTTGTCTGTTCCTTTGTTTATCTGTCGATTAAAAATGACCCTCAGCTCTCAGGGATGTCAAACCTTAGTTATAATTAATGTTTGTCGAATGCTTTGAGGCCCCTGAATGACACCAAAGAAGGGTAAAATATGCTACTTGTGCAGCTGAGAAGAGCAGGCGGTACCGATCATCCCTCTGGGAGGGTGGTTTCCAATACAGGCTTTCCCTGCAGAGCAGGAGGCTTCGGAGGCTTTCAGGCTTGCTTCCTGCCTGTCTTTAGGTCTTATTCCTTTATTTGACTGCACAGAAAAGAAAATCTGTTCCGTGACCAGGGGGGTCAAGGGTAGGCCAGGCGCTGCCGTCCTGATGA